GATATGAGTCAGATGGGTCAAAAAATCGGATTTGGGTCGGATTTGCCTGCAGTGTGAACGTAGCCTAAGTCTAAAGCYCTATTTTGACAGGATTAGTTTTACCTAGGGACCCCATGCTGTTTGTAATAATTACAGAGATTGTCTGTGTTGATAATCCCGTGAGAATCGGCCATGTCAGTAATTTGTAAAGTAAAAATTCCCCCACAAATTACCTACCATATTTTGCTGAACTCCGAGGTCCTGTGATAATACTAATCCAATGTGAATAGGCATCTCTGATTTGGACAGGAATGGGCTGGATCCCATATGTAATTAGGCGGTTTTGGTTTCCTTGGTGCATTTTTATTTACTTTTTTGTGAAGAATGGAGGCTGGATTGGAGTGCAATGAAAACCTTTGGGTCCCGGGCCGGAAAAACCCAACATATTACGTGCGCCATTAAAAAAAAAATAGACAATAAAAAAGGCTTGAAGAGAGGGAACAAAATCAGATGCAAATGGTGTCTCACTGTATAGTAAGAATAATTATTTTTTTCTGTGTGTAGCCTTCTGGCTGATGCTGAGTGTGGAGCTGTGGCCGTAGCGCAGCAGGCTCGTGCTTTGAGTAGCTACTCGCACCGGGCGCGTGCACCCTCGCCAGCTGGGAAGGTGTTCATATCTGTCAACCACTTTGGACATTTACCTGTCCAATGAGCCTCAAAAATCTATAATTTTTGCTAAAAATCTGAAGGCTACCACTCGTACCCGTGCGTGGGGGTCTGTCGGCCGTGGAGATGACAGCACCTGCTGTAACGCAGGAGGAAAGGAGAGCAGAAAAAGTGGATAACTTGATGTTTATTGTTTTTTTTTTTTAAACGTCTGTTCAATGCCGTGTTCAACTAAATAGACAACAACTAACTTCAATATCACATTCGGGAGATGTCTGTAAATTTTAGGTAAATCTCAGGCTTTGGTTATCCTGTGCGAATGCGCCACATAAAACACAGACGTCAGGGATTAATTTATTTATTACATGGGGTCCCAGATAATTCTTATCCCGYGCGAACAGAGCTTAAGGCAGCATTTAAATAAAGGATAGATACCCAAGTCACCATTAGTGCATCRATTACTCCCTGTGTGTGTGTTTCAACAGCAGATATTTGTCCATTTCACTTTTAACAGAGTATCTTTGGGAATAAACCTATGTATAATTTAATGATCTGACTATAATGGCTTTGCCACTTATTTCTTCCACACAGACACCRGTCTTTACTTCTGGGACCTTATATTTTTCATAAAGCCCTTATTTTTAGTCAAGAATGTTAAACACACTTACACGGTGAGTACTGGTTCAATCTTTCAACATGTCAATAAGCTAAAAATACTAAAATACCCAGAACCCAAACAACGTGGTCTGCTGGTTCATTCTCAGCAGGAATACAGYCTAGTTGTAATATTTTTGGATGGATGGATGGATAATATGTAACAACCTTCACAAATGTGTTATTTTATTATGTTCTGTTCTTTTACTAGTACCTAGGGGCCAGTTAATAAAATATTGATTTAGATTAACTGTTAATCCAAAATCTTGTGCTCCTGATAATATCAGTAGGTAGAGGCAGACAATAAATAGCTACAACTCACTGTAGAAGTGACATAAAATCAGCTAATAGTTTTATATAGATTTGTTGGTAAAAGTAAGCAAAGCAAATCAAAATGAGACTGACCTTTTTGTTGAGCTTGAGCCAGGTGACATAACCTTTACTGTCCACATACTGCAGGCCAAAGAACCACACCTCCCGCAGCCCCACTGTCTTCACCACCTGCAAGCAAAACTAGGAACTTTCACATTCACACCATCTACATCATTTAAAATTTTTTTTCCCTTAGTCTATCTTTTGTGTGTGTGTGTGTGTGTGTTTAAACATTGTAAGGATGCTAAAGAAGATCTTTTGATTTGTTAAATAATATAATTTATCAAGATGAGAATTTGATCAATCCATCAGGGTTTTTGGACACGTCATGTGTGCTCACCTGGTCGAAGAGCTGTTTTCCTGTGGTATTAGGCTGGATGGCAAACTCCAGCTCAGCATCCATGGTGGTTACACGGACATTAATCTAGACAATAAAAGAAAGAAGTTGTTAATAAGTTTATTTAAAACAAGGGCTTCACGTTTATGGCAGACAAGATTGTATCATTGTTCTAATCTCCAACGTCGGTCTCAGCTTGTTGCTGTAAAGTTTGTTGAACCGTTCTAAATGAATTGATATTTATAAAGCAGACCTTGATATTGATGTCTAAAGAACTTTCAAARCATATCCCATCTATGTAACAGTCACTGCCATACTTTCACAAGTTACGTGAATGRGCAATATACACTATAGCAATTAAACTCAACATCCAACATGTTTATACAGAGTTCTGAAAACCCAAATTGTGAAATTTCATAAATTGTGCAATAATTTGGATTTGTTCAGATTGTGTAATGATCCTTCGACTTGTGATGAAGGAAAAGAAAAAGGTGTATGGCTCAGTGGTGATGCCTCAACTTTTCAGCTACTATTTCAAGACAAGGACCCCTCAGAGTACTAGACGTTTACACTGAAGAGAGACAAAGCGTCAAATCATTTTCAGCCAACACCCATTTGTCAAGACGGCAGCCTGTTGCTCAAAGACCTCTGTAGGGTGGAGCAGAGGATAAAAGTCATTCATTGGCTGTGGGTCTTGTTAAGCAGAACTGGCAGTGGGCCTAGCAGCAGCTGATGGCACAGAACAAGGCAGGGCTGACCTCAAGAGGCCTCTGACATCCTTCCTTCCACACCTACTTACTAACAAAGTATTTACTGTCTCAGTAGTAGCACTGTCGATGTAGGAAGAGGGACAGGGGGATGTGCATAACAGAGGAGGGTGAAAAAAATAGTTCAAAGTGCAAAAGCACAGTGTAGCGACAGTGCAAAGGCAAGTGCAGGAGACAGTGTGCTGCGCAACAGGAAGTCAGAGATGATGTGTGATACACTTCCTTTGAGATGAAGTCACACCAAAGTTACTTAGAAAAGCAACTATACAAAAAGAGTGAAGGCAATGAATCTTTACTGTCCAGAAATTCTGCAAAAAGCTGCTTAGTTTGCATTTTTCTCCTTCTGTAGTAATTTAAATCTATGTTTCTTGTGCTTTCAACTCCTTTCTGGTTYATCTGACAATATCCACAATGAATAATACATAAAACTTGGTTTACAAAACATAACTGCAAATCATTTTGCCTGAGCTCTAAAACTTTTGTCAATCTTATTTTTATTATTCACATGAAAATCAGAGGTACTTTTTCCACACTRCATAATAAAAATGAACTTTCACGTGTGGCTGAAGCAGGGCTGCACGATATCAGGAAAACCTGCAATGTGCTATAACAGTGATTAATATTGYGATGACAACATGACTTGTGATAGCTGAACAAAAACTTAAGTATGCAGTGTTTTATGTCTTTCTGGTCTGGGTTAAGAGCAAGAAAAAAAGAGCTGTTTTTGATTGGTGAAAAAGTTGAAGACTTTGTGTGATTGACAAAACGCATTAATATAAACATTTGGGTCAATCATTTTTTGTAGTTCATGCAGATTTTTGCAAAATGCCTATTGTACAGGCTGTTATTTTGACAATAGATTTACAATATATTTGGCAGCCCTAGACTGAAGCATAAATAGTCAATATCTAACATTTCCTTTAAATCACCATTTCACCTGCTTTCAGTATACTGTATAATTAGTGAAACATTGTCAACTAAAAAATAAAAGGTCAGTTCTGGCCAATTTTTCCCCTTTTTAGCAGCTGTATTAAAACATTTTTCAAACCYATGAGGCATATCTGTTGCCAAAGTGTTATATTAAAATGATTAAAACTACAGAGATCACCATCACTGCAGCTTCATTCACTTGTGCTGCATTATCAATTAACAGTCAAAGTGTTCCACTTCAAATGCCAGCTACCTTTTGAAATAATATTCCTTTATTAATGTGAACTTTTTTTTACAATAAAATACAAGATAACCAGATAAAATCAGATATGGACAAGCATCCGTTTTTTTCCTGTATTACTAGCTTTGTTAAGATGTTAATATGTCAATACAGACACAAGCTTATGGATGAAACATAAGTCATAAAGTTTACTGTAAACATTTTTTTAAAAAGCTGCTGTGACAAGTTCAATTGTAGCCTGGCCCTTGCCTTCCTATGCAGCTCCGCTCAATTCTAGTTTCCCTTCACTGCTCCGTCTGGGACTTCTCCCACTGAGAAGGATTTCGCTGGCAGATATTTAGCCGAGCCAATGAGAGAAGAGAACATCAATTTTCTGCGCAGTGTCTCTTGTAGTTTATTTTACCTGGGCC